TGATAGTGAGCATACTCACTAATGAGATTGTACATAACACAATCATCTCATGATGAGAGAAACTACTAATGAGGCCGCATTATGGGGCAGTTGCACTGAGTGGCAATTATCTCTGTTAGAAAGTTGGGCTGGATAGAGATTTTGCATCCTAAATACTTCTTCTTCCTCTGTCTCTCCCCCACAACCCTAAGCAAAAACATCTGGAGTAATTCCCATTGAATGTCCCTGCCTTTTTGATGATGATCTTGGTTTATTGATTGTTGAGAATTATTCTTAATTTACGAAGGTGGCATTGTGTGTTTTTAAATTATTATTATTATTAAACCAGTGCAAATGTTGTATGCTTCATTTATGTAGTGCACTTCATTTTGTAGTGCACATGTTGTGCAATTTAGTATAAATGAGACCTTATGGGTTAATTGTATTTCAGATTATTAGCCAGAATAATCTGAGAATTTCCTCCTGAATCTCTTAACCGGAAGTATTGAGCTAAGCAAATGTTTGTTAGTAGCCTGTTGACTATATATGGATTAACTTGTGTATATTTTTACCTTAATTTTGTTATGTGTAAAATAGGAACAGCACTTGATTTTTGTCATGTTTAATCCGCATATGAAACAACAGGTGTCAAATGTTAGTCAAGCTTCAGCAGTTTTGCTGAGACCAAGAGCCAGATGTTTATTTCTCTCCCCATATACTCTCTTGCGGTTCCTTAGCCTAATCTGGGTTCAGAATGCAAAATTTCCTTAAATCCTTTGTGCACTTTAATGCATAATCAAGCTATTCCTGTTCATATAAAATGTTGAAAAGAGAGAAGGAGTTAAAGTATTTGTTTTAGTGAAACACCCTTAATTGCAGGCCTCCTCAGAATACAATATCACTGTTTTTCTTCCATCATATGAATAGCCAGTAATGAAAAACCAACCCTGCCTCTTACAGAGCATTATAATGACTGATATTGTGGAGTTTAATTCTTCAGGGTGCAATGAAGAACTGCTTGATATAATTAGGCTAAAACAGAAAAAGGTTCATGCCACATTGCAACCAATTGAAATATCACAAAGTAGTGAGATTGTCTTCGGATTAGATGTGAAGGGGAGGAATTGAGAGGGTACTGGTGGGTGAGATTTTTAAAAAGCCCAGTCTGCAAATCTGCAGCCATTTTAATATGGAATACAGGTGCTCTGCAGACTGAATTAGGCTGGATCATTCCCGGGTGGCAGCTACTTATTTTATTTATTTTACTATTAAATTTATATGGCCACACAACAACACATGTTACCTGGGCCGTTTTACAAATAATTAAAATAATATTTTAAAACCTACTAAATGCAGGGTGGAAATCTTTCTGGTACAGTACAAGTTACACATTAAAATGCAACTGATATAGTGAGATGTTTGTTTAAAATGCTTCTTGCTTAAAACCTCTGTGTGAATCAAAAGCCCTTCACCTGGCACCAGGGTCGGCCCTTTCATAAGCCACGTTGAGCCATGTTCCGTAGGTGGTGAACATGCCCTCTCATATATCGCCTGCAGGACCACCTACCACAATGGTTGTGGCACACTGGCCAGCAATCAGGTGGGCTGGCCGCTGCTATTACTATTTTACTCCCCTCCCTCCCATTTCTCACATAATGTCTGTGCCACCACTATCTGCCATAAGATTTAAAGGTAGTGAAAACATGTAAGTGACCTAAAGCAAAACACAATATACCCATACCACAACCCCTCTGTTGGGCACAACAGTGAAGAGGTGACAAGTTCTTAGGTGGCACATTCCCTGGTGCTTAAAATAAGACATGTCAGACCAATCTGATTTCTTTTTTTCATGGAATCACAAACTTGGTGGATCAGGGAAATGCTGTGGGCATAGTGTATCTTGATTTCAGTAAGGCTTTTGACAAAGTACCCCATGATAGTATCGCAAGGAAGCTGGTAAAATGTGAGTTGAACGAGGTAGCTGTTGGGTGGATTTGTAGTTGGTTGACTGACTGAACCCAAAAAGTACTCATTAGTGGTTCCCCATCATCCTGGAAAAAGTGCCAAGTGGGGTGCCACAGGGTTCTATCCTGGGCCCGTTATTATTCAACCTCTTTATAAATGACGTCGATGAAGGAATTGAGGGGATGCTCATCAAATTTGCAGGTGACACCAAACTGGGAGGGATAGCTAATGCCGCAGAAGACAGAATCAGAATTCAAAATGACCTTAACAGATTGGAGAACTGGGCGCAAGCTAACAAAATGAATTTCAGTAGGGACAATCGTAAGGTTCTGTAATTAGGCAGGAAGAACCAGATGCACAAATATAGGATGGGGGACACCTGGCTTACAAGCAGTACATGTGAAAAGGATCCAGGGGTCTTGGTGGACCGTAAGCTTAACATGAGTCAACAGTGTGATGCAGCAGCAAAAAAAGCTAATGGTATTCTAGGCTGCATCAACAGAAGTATAGTGTCCAGATCAAGGGAAGTAATAGTACCACTCTATTCTGCCTTAGTCAGACCACACTTGGAATACTGTGTTCAGTTCTGGGCACCACAATTTAAGAAGGATGTTAACAAGCTGGGACATCTGCAGGAGAGGACAACCAAGATGATCAAAGGTCTTGAAACTAAGCCTTATGAGGAGCGCTTGAAGGAGCTGGGTATGTTTAGCATGGAAAAGAGGAGACTGCGAGGAGATAGGCTAGCCATCTTCAAATATCTTAAGAGCTGTCACATGAAAGAGGGAGCATGCTTGTTTTCTCCTGCTTTGGAGGGTAGGACTCAAATCAATGGCTTCAAGTTGCAAAAAAGGAGATTCCGACTAAACATTTGGAAAAACTTTCTGATAGTAAGAGCTGTTCAGGAGTGTAACAGACACCCACGAGAGGTGGTGGACTCTCCTTCCTTGGAGTTTTTTTTAAGCAGAGGTTGGGTGGCCATCTGTCATGGATGCTTTAGCTGAGATTCCTGCATTGCAGGGGGCTGGACTAGATGACTCTTGGGTCCTTTCCAACTCCATGGTTCTATATTAATGTTGCACCAGCTGCTTTAGTGAGCATGTTTGCTGGTATTTGCTCATGCTCAATCATCCTTGCTAATAAGCACAAGAAATTTACCAAACAACACCCAGGTAGAATAGCTTGAGCAAGTTCGCTTAGTAAGCTGCTAGTGGTTCAGCAGGAAATGTTAGTCTCCCTTAGCTAACTGGAAAGCTTTGCTGGAACACTACAAATATACTAGAGGAAGTAAATAGGAAGAGGGAGATGAGTTAGATTCAATAAATCTAAAGGTACAATAAATAAAAGATACAAACTGGATACTATCAGCTTCAGTTTAGAAGTCAGAATATAGTAGTGTAAAATGTGAAATAATTTAACTGAATTAAAAACTACTGCTTAGATCCAGACTAAGCTTCCATTGGCAGGAGTGTCCCATATTTGCTCATATAGCTCCCTGCATGCTGGAGTAATGTGTTTTACAGCACTGCACTGGTTACAGGCAGTTTGTCCCATTCTGCTGTCTTGTTTCCTGAACTAACAAGCCTTGGGTGGATGGGTGAGTCAGCAAATAAATAAATAAATAAATAAAGTTTTCTCGTTTATAGAGTATATCCCACATTGATCATATTCAGAAAAGACCCACCAATATCTATTGCTTTCGGTAGGTTTGCTCTGAATATGACTTGGTTAAATATCACCCATTTGTATGTGAAATGGCTATTCAAAGATCACAGATGTTCATTTGTTTAAGTACAGTCTTGCCTGATTTCCTCTTTGTTAGGCAGTCATTTACCATAAGTATTTCTGCTTCATTTTCCTCCATTGTAAAAAAAAAAAGGTGTGAAAGCCAATGCCTGCTTATGATAGCAGTTGTGATGTTTAAGGTTTGCAAAGTGCATCACAAATGTGTAATTCATTTAATTGCTAAATGTTAGGGCTGGTAGGACAATTTTCTTAATTATACGGAGGCCCCTTTCTTTAGCTAGTCATTTTGTTGTTAAATAGCAGATTTCCAATTAGTGGGTGGATATGGCTAATCTAAGTAATTTGTAGTTTTAACAAATATACATCTGCATATTTCTGAGTGTTGAGCTTTTATTTGAATTTACTACTCCACAAAGTACGGTGCTGGTATTTTACCACTGAATGCTACCCTTCTTGGATTAAATTGCCAGAATGATATGTACAGCAAAGGCGGATTTAGGGGAGCTCGGCCGGTTCAGTTGTACTGGGCGTGGAGACTTAGGGACATCACAACTATGATATAGAATGCCAGGCGAGAGGTGGGGGCACTGAATATTCCCGTTCCACAGGGCACCACTGAAATATGAAGCCGTAAAGTATGCCAATGCACACAGTTTAGTTTACTCTCATAGAATTGTAGAGTTGGTAAGGGGTCCCGAGGGTCATCTAGTCCAATCCCTTGAACCTCATTGACTAGCCTTGTGGAAAAACAGAATCCACACAAGTTAAAGGCCTGCAAAAAACATTGCTTGCCTCTGGAGGAGAGCCAGCACCTGGTTTCCGTGGGCAACCATCCTGTGTTGATGCCTGCCGTGTTCCCCCTTTAATTCCCCCACAGCCTGGCACTCTGAGCAGCACAAGACAACCCCTTTTTATTTTCCACGGTGTACCATACAGTGTCACTCTGGGGCATTGTTGAGAATCAAAATGGTGTCAGTCCCCTCAGCTGCCTGGCTCTGCTGCCAGGTCGGCCCTTCAGGGCCCACTGACAGAGGAGGGACCCCATCAGATATCACCCTTGCTGAGATCTCTGTGCTGCTTGTCCAAGGAGTACTGGAGGAATGACAGAGCTCTCATCTGCCAAGTTGTTCTCATTGCCTGAGCGGAATTCCATGCACTCGCTTACATGAGGTTCCTGATTACCTATCCTATGGTAACCAGGCTAGTGCTTAAATACAAGGCTGGACTATGTAATCTAATATAGCTAGGTAGTCGAAATATGACTTGGATTTTGATTATTATAAATCTCAATGCTTTTTTTTCCTTTCTAGAGCTGAAGATCATTTGTGCTAAGTGGATATAAAGTTCACCCTAGGAACGCTCTAATGGATGACAGGGAATCTCCTACAAATGACCTGCAGTTAAGTTTACAAGGCTCACTTCGTACCGACACACTTGTGGAAAAGATCAAAGCTTGCTTAGCTTCTTCACCAGATGAAAATGAAAATCAGCTTAATGGAAGCAAGCATGATACTCTGAAAAGCAGTGACGACACAATGGGAAAGGTTGAGCAGGACAGCATTAATAATAATGAGGACAGTGGAGACTACACGTCCTCCTGCCAAGAAGATGAAAGCGATAAGCCATCTAGAAGCTTCGCTGCAGATGAAATGCTCATTTTAGAAAAAGGTGACTCTGAAAAAAGGAGTTCAAGGAAAACAAAAAGTTCCAGCAGGAAAGGTACAACAACTTCCACAATATACATTTTGTTACTCATAGTACAGGTCTTTAACCTATAACATGACTTGGGGGGTATCTTCTTCTATGATTACTGTTCTCAAAAAGTGTGGTCTTTCTATATCTTCTCTACAAGGCCACTACCTTCCCAGCCAACTCTGCAATCCTGACAGGTGAAGCATGCACCTAGAAGGCAAATGTTAGCAAGCCATTTTCTTACAAGAGAAAGTAGTGTTGTTTGAAGAGTAAAAGGTAAAGGGACCCCTGATCATTAGGTCCAGTCGCAGACGACTCTGGGGTTGCGGCACTCATCTCACTTTACTGGCTGAGGGAGCCGGCGTTTGTCCGCAGACAGCTTCCAGGTCATGTGGCCAGCATGATTAAGCTGCTTCTGGCGAACCAGAGCAGCACACGGAAACGCCGTTAACCTTCCCGCCAGAGCAGTACCTATTTATCTACTTGCACTTTGATGTGCTTTCAAACTGCTAGGTTGGCAGGAGCAGGGACCGAGCAACGGGAGCTCACCCCGTCACAGGGATTCGAACCGCCAACCTTCTGATCGGCAAGCCCTAGGCTCTGTGGTTTAACCCACAGCGCCACCCGCGTGTTTGAAGAGTAGATGCTATTAAAAACTAGTTTTTGTTTTCAGTTGATAAAAATAATAGGAAGGAATTTCAGTGTCATACTGATTTAATCGCTCTGTCAGTGCAAGCATTTCTGCTTGCCAGGTAGAGTTATCTGCCAGGAATCTGAGCTGAGACGTCCATGTAGCAGAAGTTGCCCCCAGTTCTAGTCGCCACACAGAGGCAGCTTAAGGTCCAAAATAGTTTATTTTATGGCCCAGTTCACACACCACACTCAGGTCCGTGGTTTGCCTCTCTCCCAACAAGCCACAACCAATATTCAAGCTTTGTTACTGGTTTACAACTTGTAGCTCGTTTTGGGGGGTGGGTAGGCAGTGAGCCTGGATTCAGACAAAATGACAGGCCAAACTCTGGCTTGCTTTGTTTATGGTGCAGTGGCAGCAACAACAGGGGAAGTGTGAGATAGTTTGCTTTAAATGTGGTTTAATGTGACCTATAAAGCAGGCCATACAGCAAATATAATAAATGTAATGTGTTGAATACAGTGGTGCACCGCAAGACGAACGCCTCGCAAGACGGAAAACCCGCTAGACGAAAGGGTTTTCCGTTTTGGAGGCGCTTCGCAAAATGAATTTCCCTATGGGCTTCCTTCGCAAGACGAAAGCCCATAGGGAAATCTCCGGGACAGCGCGGAAGCGCAGCGCGTTTTCCCCACTGTCCTCGGACCTCCTCCAAAGGCTGGCGGCGGGCGGAGAGACCTCCTCCTGCCGCCAGCCTTCGGAAGGCTGCTCCGAAGGCTGGCGGCGGGAGGAGGTCTCTTGTTCTGAGTTTGTTTTTCACATATCAGCTGTGGTTTCTGTGACCAGATAAAAATGAGATGTCACATTTATGCATGAAAAGGCAATGCAGGTTTGTTTTCAGGAATGTAGAGATTTCAAGGGAGGACAGTGTTTGCACAGTGTAATACATAAGTCAAGGGTTGAGCTGAGCAACAATCTTCCGTAGTATCTTTTCCTAAGAAAGAATAATAGTGTTGTCTTACAGATCTATCTTAGGAACCTAATTGGGTCAGTTCCATTATGAGAATTCACGCTAACTCTTAATTCTTACTATACCAAAAACAATTTTCGGCGCTGTTCAACAAATGCTGTATATTTATGTAAATGTTTATGATGTGGATAAAGAGAAACAGATATTTTAGTCTCCCAACAGGTGGAACAGTCAAGTTAAAAATTAAGCTAGTGATTGCAAAGGGATTAGATGTAGAATTCAAAACTGGTGATCTGTGGTGTATGTTGGAAAGCAGAAACAAGAAAGGAGGGAACTTAACAGGTGCTAGGAAAGAGTTTGTAATGATGAAAAGCTTTCGTTCTCTGTATCAGAAAATGCCCAAACAATGAGGGCACATGTTCTTTTGTTGTAGGTTTGTGTCTTCCAAGGGTAGGTATAGGTGCTTTTTGTATTCTGTTCTTTTTATCTGTGTTGGTAGTGGCTTTTATAGCAGAATAATTGTAGTTTTATAATTACGTTGATGAGCCTAGCTTTCAGGTAGTGGTCCTGAGTAAGGGCCATAAAGGTGGTACTGCTGAATTTTTTCAGCCTGAACTGTATTAATTCAAACAGGAGTGACTTTGGGGAAATGGTTGTAGAATTTAGTCAATATTTGCACAACAACACTGTGAAATCAATTTCCCATAAAGTTAATTTTTTTCTTCCATTTTAAGTTGGTTTGTTTGTTTGTTTGAATGCCACTTCCATCATTATACACAACACTCACAATTACCTTTACGAATGGCTTTGGAATATCTAAAAGATATTCCAAAGCAGGATAGCACTTTTAAACAAATGGTAATTTGGCATGGCACAAACATAGTGAAGGTCACACGTTGCCATGAAAATAACCAATGCTTTTGAAGGTAATCTTTTTATGCCATCTCTAATACAATATTTTATAGTTTATTGGAATAAATTCCGGCTCTTGTTGCTTTTGCCCCCAAAGGAGCATTAGTTAAGAAGTACTATTAAGCTGTACCCATTTTGTTTCCAATGTGGCCTCTTTTGCTACAGCCCGTTTCCCTTCCTAAAAGGCCCTTGACCCCCAGAGTGGCTTTCCATGGGCTCAGGGAGGAGAGATGGGAAGTCCCCCTGTGTGAGCAGATATTTGCTCATGCAATTTTGAACAGAACCCTATATGTTGAAATGTTAATGAGACTCCACAACTGTTCTTGTTTAACACTTCCGCAGCAGCCAAGCAAGAGAAGACTGGCATTACAGCAACAGGTTCTACATCAGATGAAGATGGAAACAAGACCAATGCAAACTTTCCCCAAAAGGATCCAACCCAGACTTTGCAGGCCCTCTTCTCTCTTCTCCGAGAAGAATTTGAGCAGATGGATTCAAGAGTCCTCCCCCTGTGCCTCCATGAGGTAGTAAAAAAAGACCTATCTTGGTTTCTCTGTGGCCATACTATGAGAGATTTTATCAGCTGAAATAATGGAAAGCTACTGCCAGTCATTATGAGCAGTACTGAGTTAGAGTGACCAGTGGTCTGACTCAGTGTAAGGCAGCGCCCTATGTTCCTAGTCCCATTGATTTATGTGGGAGCTAATTTAGTCTGGATCCAACCCATTAGATTATTGAGGCACCTTAAAAACAGGGAAGTCCATCATGCCATAAGCTTTTGTAGGTCAAAGACTGTGATGAAATGTGGATTGGTCCATAAAAGTTTATGGCACAATATATTTGTTAGTATTTAAGATGCCATAGTAGTTAAATACCCCAAGTATTTGCTTTCCAGGTGTGTGGGTATAGAAGGTTAGAATCCTGAGGACTGTAGCAGAAGTTCTTGAAGATGTAGAGGCTGGAAAGTATATAAACTTTGTGGCTATAACTCTTACTTCTCTGTCTGTATATGTGATGCTTTGATAAAATGAGTAGAAAATAAATTTAGTGCCATCATCTATACACGCTTACTCAAAAGTGTGGTCCACTGTGTTCACTAGAACTTAATCTCAGATGAGTGTGCCCAGGACTACAATATTAATTTATTGCATATATGAAAAATCCAAACATATATAATCTTGCTTCTCACAAATAGTATATTCAGCCATGGTTCAGGGTACAACATTCATGTACATTTTTGGCAGGATATAGATTCTGAGGTGGTTTCTGGAGGATGATATAAAGGGTGATAATGGTATAATAAATATCTGAAAATGTTAGTTGCTTCTTTGCTTTCTGTTACAGATTGCTGAAACGTATTTTCAAGATGGAGAATGTATCCTTTTTAAAATCAAGATTGATTTCTATGCCATTGCCCTCAGCATATGGCTGAAGGTTTCCAGCAACAGGTCTAGTTAAAGCCAAAGTGGAAAAATTATGATTATTTAAGTGCAGTTATTCAGATTTCTTAATTTCCAGGGGGGGACACTTATAAATATTAAATTGTTATCTCAAATGTGTAAAGAACAGTGTAAAAAACAAAAAACAAACCACTAAGGTATTGTTCATGAACCATGAGTGTACATGAGCTTGTTCAATCTAGCATAAGAACTTGAATCTAATATAGGAGGTGCTTGCATTTATTCAGGCTTTGCATAGATTCAGTGTGGAGGGTTCATAGTAGTTAAATACCCCAAGTATTTGCTTTCCAGGTGTGTGGGTATAGAAGGTTATAATCCTGAGGACTGTAATTCAAATCCTGAGGACCAGGGTTCAAATCCCCACTCAGCCATGTAACATTAGATGTTTATAGCTGCTTTGATTTTCCTCTTTTGCACTTGCAGTCCGAAGAGATTGATTATGTTAGTGGTATTTGCTAGCTTTCACCCCTTAATTCTAGATGTGCGATCAAAAACTGAGAAGCTTTTACCCTTGAAAGAGAAATTTATTTCATTTTTGAATTTGTCCATTTGAAAAAATAAGAGCTTCCAGGTGGTACAGTACTTGGTTGTATTTTTTCCATTAAATTGAGCAACTTTAAATGTGAATGGCAAATTACTGCTGGAAACACTCATCCTAGAGAATTCATTGCCCAAAAAAGGAAAACTTTCTGACTACAGGGGAAAAAGATTAAGAGAGTATATTGTGGGGTCCATGTAGCACGTGCATGCCAAGTTTTGAGCACAATTATGCATTATATCTATGCTGTACTTTTTTTCGTTGGGAGACGGATGCAGGGGGTACACATACCCCTAAATATTTTGTGAGTCTAAGTTTGGCCTTATTGAGGGGCAGTAGTTCAATATGAGTAGGAAAATGAGAGTACCCCTATACATTTCTTTTAGAAAAAAGCACTGTCTATTCTCGACTGTCATTCGGTGTCTGCATTTTCCTTTAGTTTTTCATTCAGACGAGAAAGCCATGAAATTTATTCAGCTTGAACGGTTATATCATGAGCAACTACTTGCAAATCTTTCTTCTATACAACAACAGTGGGGTAAGTGTGTCATATAGTTGGGAAATCTCTTGTTTTTATTATAATAGAATAAGTTTTGGGTTGCAAAATAAAAATAGCTGCATATTTCCCTACTGGTGACTGTTGTGTGTAGGCACAGTGATCAGTGGTTGTTCTTTATTTTATCATGATATATTTTCCTTGAAAAGGAACATCATTATTTTCAGTTAGGCTTCTGGCTTTTAATGGACCATTGCAGTTACTCTGTGCTGTAATATTTGTTTTTCCATTATGTTGAATCCACTTTGTCTAGAGACTATTCAAAACATTTTGCTTTTGAAGACACTGAAATATTTTAAATATACAAAAATATAAAATGATTGTGTGTTGTTGCAGAAAAAAAATGGAAAGCAGCAGCATCTAACGAGGTTCCAGCTCTAAAACGTTCTGCTAAAGTCCTGAATAATGAAGAGTTAGACAAACTTGCTAAACTTTGCACATCACATCAAGAGTAAGTAATAAAAATAATATTGGTTTAATTAGTTCAATTCTCTTTTTGTGTCTGTTTAGGTGCACTCAGGGATTGTGTGGCCCCAATGAACACTTGCCTGTTTTCTTTCAAAAGGAGAATAAATTGGTTGAAACTGTTCAGATTTTCAAAAGCCATTTGCCAACTTAGCACAAAGAGCTGATGCTCAAAGGGAGAAAATGTAAAAAAACAAACCCAAAACACTAAGCATGAATTCTGGACTGTGACTAGATTTTTAGATTAATTACTTTCCTTTGTTTGCTTGTAATACTTGTGCATTGTTGTATTTCTTGATAAGAAAATTTAAAAATAAAATTATTAGAAGATGAAATTGCCAAAATCTTCATGGTCTCAATTCAAATATCATGTTAGGAATCCTCCAAAACAATGGTTTGGAAGAATAAGGAATATACAATGGGCTCTCTTTTTTTCCAAGGTTGCCTAACCTTAGTTTTGCTGTGACAGCTGAATAGTGCAAACTGTGTTTAACATTAACCATGGTTTCCACATCTTAACTGATTGCTATGATTAGTGCTAACCAGAAAGGGGAAGATGAAATTGTCATGTGACAGAGGAGGTTGGGTCACATGGTTTGGAAGATCACTAACCGTTTACCCAAATTAACTGCTAAAGATAAACGTTTTAAATTCAAAGTTTGGTGCCTGAAGTATTTCAAAGTTAATCAAACGTGAAGGAGACTCCCACTTTCACAAAAGCATGCTTTCCTTCACCACACGAGCATACTAATTTTATTTATTTTTATTTCATGTGTTCTTATACTACTTAAGACGGTCTCTGATGAGTTAACAAAATAGCAAATACAATTTGAATATGTAAGAAACAATGAAACTGAGAAACTACAATATAATATAATACAATGCACTGTAATACAAATACAATATAAAACAATAAGATGCTCCCAAAATAAAATCATAGCAGCACATTTTGAAAACATCTTAAGATCCAGGGATCCGTTTCCTCTTGTCAAAGGCACATTCTAGCTCAAAACATGCAATACTCCCCCCACTAACGTATCACACCCAATTCTGACTCATACAGGTAACTTGCAACTTGCACACATTTAACTTGTGAGCATTACGATTTACATGCTTGGTAGGAAAAAAATGGAAAGGATGTGTGTGTCTGGGAAAAATGACTTTGGCAATCCCACCCACCGTTGAACTCAATGTGTTTTCACTATACGTGATTTTGGCTTTACGCACTATCCCCAGAACGCAACCCCCACGTATTTGAGAACTGCCTGTATTTACAGAAATCATGTAATATATGTTGCTCATTCAATATCATTCTATTTACACCCCTCACACACATCTACCGGTACACATAAATATACCATCTACCCAGTTTTAATCTCTGTTCAGTATGGTTCAGAGTCGGTTTCCCACTATTTCAGCTATAATTGTTCCTGTTTCTTCACTGTCTTCTAGCCCAAATGCTTGCACCCAGAGAGTAAGAACTCATTGGAAGCACTAAGTTTCCAGGCCAGTCCTAGAGTGGAGCAGATGATATTTGCTCCGGGGGATGAGTTAGTCAGCGGCACACAGTTCTTTTTACAGACAGCTGGCTTGAGGCAGTTGGAATGCTCACAGCCACCAATGTCAGTAGTGATTCTTGCTGGCTGTGCCTGCATGGTGGTCTTGGTAATGCACACCAGGTCACACTCAAATCCAAGATGAAAGTGTGGATTATATTTGCTTGATCAGGAATTAAACAGCTGCAGACTTCATGGGTGACTGACAGAACTTTTTGGGTACAGTGAATTGAATGAAAAGCCAGAAGAGGACACAGGCACTAATTGTCTGCACAGTCCCCTTCTTACAGGTACCGTCCAACTCCATACTTATTACATATTGGATCATGTTACACCTTTTCTGAGTCAGTTACATTGGCTGCCTATTAATTTCCAGGCCTATTTCAAGGTGTTGGTTTTTGTCTTAAAAGAACAGTTTGGGACCACATTATCTGAAGGATCACCTACACCTGCATGAACTTACCCAAGCATTAAGATAATCATTGGAGGCTCTGCTCACTGGCCTACCAGCAAGAGCCATCCATGGTGGTCCCACATCTTTAGGTGTAAGAATAATAATTTATTATTTATACCCCGCCCATCTGGCTTGGTTTTCCCAGCCACACTGGGCAGCTCACAACAGAATATTAAAAACACCATAAAATATCAAACATTTAAAAACTTCCCTAAACAGGGCTGCCTTCAGATGTCTTCTAAAAGTCAGATACTTGTTTATTTCCTTGACATCTGATGGGAGGGCATTCCACAGGGCGGGCGCCACTACCGAGAAGGCCCTCTGCCTGGTTCCCTGTAACCTCACTTCTCACAGTGAGGGAACCGCCAGAAGGCCCTCGGAGCTGGACCTCAGGTGTAAGGCAGCTTCACATATTTAACAATGCAGAAAGGGCCGAACACTAATACTGATTACCCCAATACCAGTGCTGGGAGCACACACCAAATTTGCTAAGGGGACTGGGCGGAGTGGAGGGTCAGTCAAATAGGCCAGGAGAGCTTATGACGTGAGGAAGTATACAGGAATCTTACTTCCACAAAGGGGAAAGGTTGGTACAAAACCTTTTTCCCACCTTCCATGTTTCTGCTTGACAGGTTGCCAATCATGTCTCCTATATGCCACTTTGATTTTGTTTCCTCCTATTACCCTTTCTCACCTCCATCATGTCCCTGTCCCCTCCTTATTACCTGCCACTGTTCCAGCCTTCCAACATTCCTGTTAAATTACCTTTCTCTACCCTAGTTCTCCAGTCCCCATACTTTACTCTTATTGCTGTATCCTTCACCGTGTCATTCATTTACTGGATGAACCGTCCACTGCTGCCTTCCCTACTTCCCCACCCCCTGCTTTTCTACCATTATTAACACTGTCACACAAACCCCCAAAGTAACTATTTAAACTCCATCCCATGTTTAATGAGAATTGTATTTTTAGCTATTAGATTTCTGGCTGCCCCAGAAAGCATCATCTTCTCCAATGTGAGGATTTTTAAAATGGGTTAAAGGGGGGGGGGAATACCCTGTCTGGTTTTCTGAGTTCCATTCCCAGTTGCATGAGCACTGGAGATTCTCCCTCTTCCACTCACGTCCTGCCTTCCCCGTTGAAAGCTGTTCTGGAAAACTCAAGCTGGCCAAAATTATGTCCTTGGCATGACTTGGCTTCTTTTGTGCTGCTGCTATGAGGTAGACTTTTTCCACTGTTCTTTCTGTGCACTACAGTACTGTAGCATAAAAGCCTAAGAGTGACGTAATATAAATATCACCCTGGCCAAAAATTCACTAGGCGGCTTTCAGACAAACCACTCCCAACCCCTGTCTGAAGTATGGGGATAATACTGGCCTACATTACAGGATTGTTGTAAAGTTTAATGAGATAGCATGTGTTTTTGGGAAATAAAAATATCCAGTTTTGAGCCTTCTGTAATAGTCAGTGTACTGATCTTTAGCTTTCTGTGTGTTGTAGATATCCACTGTAATGTGGTGGGCTTAGAATGGGGAGATGCAGGTTTAAATCCCTGCTCTTCCTTGAAGCTCACAGAGCAGTCCAAACCCCCTTGTTCCAGGCAGGAATGGGGTAGATTGGTTAGAGATATCCCTCCAACCTGTTCTCCTGGCCTCTGATGGCTTCATGCTGGCTGCAGAGTGATGCCAGTGTCATTCTGCTGATGAGGGGCTTCCCTTTCACCTGCCAAATGTGTGGGCTGGCTGATGTGTCACTGCCGGCAGCCCCGCTGGTGGCAGGCAGCAGAAAGCCCCAAAACAGGATATTCCGAGGGTAAAGAGAAGGCAGGGCTGAGCTGGCTGGGGAACCACCTGATCCCAAACTGGCCCTCCTGCCGTGACAAGACAGCATAGAGTTCAATCTGGTTCTGATCGAAGGGCAATCTGCCTGCCCTTCCACTTTGATAACTATGCACTATGTTTAGGGAAGCTTTTAATGTTTGATGTATTACAGTATTTTAATATTTTTTGGGAAGCCGCCCAGAGTGGCTGGAGAAGCCCAGCCAGATGAGCGGGGTATTAAATTATTATTATTATTATTATTATTATTATTATTATTATTATTATTATTATGCACAGCAGGGCTATGGATGCAGTGCTGGTCCTGGCACCCCCATTTAGCTCTGCTGGGAAGACGGGGTAGTTGGGATGGCTCCCTAAGTATCTTCCCCAAGCTCACCATCTCATAAGTGAATCACTCTCACAATGCTGTAAGGATAAAATTGCTGGGGGGAAGAAGTTACGTATGCTGCTCTGAGCTCCTTGGAGCAAGGGTGAGATAGAAAATTAATAAATGAGTCAGTGTGGACAGGGCATTGTTATTATGGATAATAAACTGTTACTCAGCTAGTTGCACTAAGATCCAAGAGCATGGCTGTGTTTAATGTTATTCTACTTAACAGTCACAATATTTTAAAAGTAAGTGTTACAGGTCTATAGTTGCATTTATCACATCAGAGGCTCCAGTAATGAGAGGCTTCTTTGTCACATGCACCAAGAATTGCTTCCAGAACATTTAACTCCCCCACCTCCACCCCCAAAAATGAAATCTCTCTTCAGTGCATTTGAAGCCGCTCCCCACTGTTTCAGAATTTGCTTGTCAAGTGCCATATTGAGGGAGAGAATTCTTGGAGTGCCAGTGTGGAGTAGTGGCCAGAGAGCTGGATGCAATCCAGAGAGACCTGATCTTACATAACCTCTTGGCCATGCAACTTATTGGGGATCGTGATTGTTTGAGGACGCTGTTCCGAGCTGCTTGGTGGAAAGGCAGTGTAAAAATGTGATATATAAGTGACAGTAAAATGAAGGTGCTTGGGTGTCAGAAGCACTGTTTTGCATGCAGAACTCACCGTGCAGCTCTGGACTGCATTGTGGACAAATTGCTTCTTGTCAATGGTAAGAATTGTGTGCAGTTAACATTTTAATAATCACCTATGTTTGTCTTTAAGCTTTTATTTTTACTTTATAATTTGTTTTATTGGAAATAGGCTCTTGAAGTATAAAGCACAACATTTAAAAGGTTGAGCTGTGCTGCCAGTTGTGATTTTTTGGTTTTCTTCCACTTTTGATATATGTTACTATTTCTGTGGAAGACTAGAAGATTGAGCAAAATGGGGAAACTGAGTGTGCTGCCTATGTGCTGCAAAATATTAGGAGAGGCTAGTTTTTCACAGCTTCCCATCCGCTCCTAAGTCTCTTGTGTCTCTAGAAACAGGAAGTAGTGCTATTCAGGTGGTACTTTCAGTGATCTAAAAAGCACTGTTAATTCCTCTGAGTGGTCGGTTTCAATTCAGGACAATTTTTTGAAAGCTGATAGATTTGTATAAACACATTCTATAAGAGCACTTCTTGTATTGATTTCACCACTTTTACTGCCTTATGGGCCATTAAGTAATAATTGGCAGTTTGTAATGACGTTAGCATATGGTCTGGCTCTGTGCTTTAAAACTATGCTGGCACAGATAGTGTTTCAGTGTTGGAAACTTCTGTGCTAATATTAGAGCATGGAAAGAACTAATCTGATTTGTCGTCTAGTTTTGATGATGTTTTTTGTGAATAATATTTTGGTGGAAGCAGCTGTTTATTTTGTATTTTCTTTTTTGGTTGCAGGCCGCTGGTCTTCCGAAGCAAGGTAAACTGTGAAGTTTTTTTCTTGACATAGTTTTACAAGTAAATGTCTGGGTGTTCTATAATGTGCTAAATGTAATGTGTGGAGCTTACACTGCATAATAACCTGTACTGCATGAAATGAAGCAAAAACAAAATTCAGTAATAGGAATTCTGTTGTGTTTTTCAGCTAATAAGTAAAGAAAAATCCCTGAAACGTGAGAGTTTTGTAGGGTTAAGGATATCTGAAGATCTTAAGGAAAGAGGTGCTGCTGCATGTGATTCAGGTATCCCTCTTGTAAATCTTTTCAGTTTTATTTTTAAAACATGTCAGTGTGTAGAAAGCTTTAATTTAGAATAGCACTAGCTAGGCATTTTTCTAACAAGAGTAATATAAGAAGGTGATTACGTTTTTGATGCCTTAGACTTCTCTTAGAAAACAGCAGAACATAGGAATGAGAGTAGCTCAGTTGTTACAGCATGAAACTCTTGATATCAGGGTCGTGGATGTGAGCCCCACATTGGGCAAAAGATTTCTGCATTGCAGGGAGTTGGACTAGATAATTCTCATGGTCCCTTCCAACTATACAATTTTATGCTTCTGTGTGAGCAGTGACTTCAAATAATAGACCTCATTTCCCTAACATTAAATGCTGTCCAACTTCAGTACATCCACCACTGTTGCTAAAATTAGCATGGAAATAGAAAAAGAGGCTGAAGGTGGCTGTGGAGCAGTCGGCTGCAGAGATGTTGTCTGCCTGGATGTGTACCTGCCTGCTGCCTGCAGATTTTAGCCTTCTCCTTGCTGGTGTGTGGCATCCTTGAGGGTTTAAAAGACTGTATAATCAAGGAATCCTATACCCAGTATAAGAGTCAGCCCCATTGCCGTCATTGGGATTTACTTCTGAGTACAGGACTGCATGGTAAATCACTTGTGAATTCCAACCACAAAGTGGGATCATTAGCAAACAATGGTTTTCTGCTTGTGAGTATAATTAACACCTTTGGTAAAGGGACATGGCCAGTGTGCCTGTGATCGTCAGGTGGAAGTAAAATTGGAGCTTTTCCAGTTAGCCCAAGGAAGGCTCTGCTTATTCCAAAGTGCCCTAAAATCAAATACAGTGGTACCTTGGTTCTTGAATGGCTTGGCTCCCGAACAAATTGGCTCCCAAACGCCACAAACCCGGAAGTAAGTTTTCCAGTTTGCAGACATTTTTCGGAAGCCGAACGTCCGACGCGGCTTCCAAATGAGTACAGGAAGCTCCTGCAGCCAATCGGAAGCCACGCCTTGGTTTTCGAACCATTTCAGGAGTCAAACGGACTCCCAGAACGGATTAAGTTTGAGAACCAAGGTACCACTATTACCAGGGAGACTTTGTTGAATGCCTTGGTATCAACTTCTCTTCATCAACACAAGCTAGTTGTGTTAGATAATTCTTGTTTAGACGTCTCCCTGTGCTAGCTTTTTCTCTGCGACTATTTTCAGCACAGCTAGTATACAGAAACCTAAGCTGCTCCCTATGCTGTCCTCCAGTACTGAGGACTCGTACTTGTTCGCCCAAACAAAATGGTGGTGCCAGCAAAGCAGTATATTTCAGCAGGACAATGTATGAATCCTAATCAATCAATTCACTAAAGATCAGGAACATGTCCTCTCACTACGATCACATTTCATCTCAGGCAACCTCTTAGCCTCTTTGACCCCTTTAGTAATATCTTGTTTCGCTTCCTTGTTGTCTGTGTTCTTCAGGTCCTCTCTTCACGCCTCATATATGTGGCCCCCTGGTAATGTCATCAGCGGTTAAGTTACATATATTTGTCTCATCACATTAGCAGATGTTTGTTCCCAAGCAAGCTCTGATCTGCTGATTGCCACACTGGTTTTTGCTAGGCAGTGCATCCCCTTAGCATCCAGGCCCCCTGGAGAGGCCTACAGTCCTACTAAGGAAGTTTCTTTTGTCAGTGCCTTTTGGTGCGCTGAAGGAATGACTACTTCATGCTATAGAGGCATGACCAATGATTTTGTTGTGCAGATTTTCAAGTTTCCACAACAAAGCTTCTAGTTGGAAAAGAGACTCTTCAAGTGCATTTTTATCCTTCTACATAGAAAATGTCAAAATATCTATTTGTTCTTATCAATAATTATGCTGTTCTGAGAAATCTTAATGGTTCTGTCCTCACGTGACCTTATAGGAAGGTAGCCAAGTTTTTGTGCCTGCATTTCTATGTATCTGTTGCTCTAAAACTTATAAGCTTTATCTAAATATGGTATGGAAACTGAGCCTAGCATTTTATTCCCTGAGGTTTCTGGTTGTGCTTTGCTGCTGAATTTTTTTTTCTCTACATGAGAGATCTTTTTGCTTTGGCGGTACTTTTCATTCTATGAAGGTTGTTGTTTTTTATTTTTAAAAAGTATTTAAAATAACCATGTGAGACAGTTTGCATCAATGACTAGGATTCTGAGCTGTTTATAGACCCCTTGGATGGCATGTATCTCCATCATCTCATCCTTGTTCTGTATCCGTCGATGCTACACAGGTATCCTGGTGTGATGTACTACATCAGGAGCACTGCAAGCATTGGTTCAAAACATGAGATACTGTTATCACTTAGGATCATCCCCATCCACTCTGTCAAAGTAAACTTTAAGGGAGCCATCCTATGGCTGATGGCCTAGTTGTAGCAGAAAGTGCCTCTGTCATTTCTCATTCACTGCTGATGGCAGTAAGGAGTGAAAAGAGACATGTTGGGTAGACCAGAAGATGCCTCCCATTCCATTGACACACATACCTAAACCAAATAACTAACCATAGAGCTGGCATAGTTAATTTGTTTAGAGTCAATAGAAGAGAAATTAGGAAACATCTGTCAATAGCAGCAAGTGGGGAAAGAACAAGCAGCTCCCTCCTGCAAGCTGGCAGGGCTTAGGAATCAGTGGCTTCTCTGCCAAGAAATCTTCCTCCCTCCCCCCCCAACCTTTACTCTGCCCAATTGCATAGTTAAATATAATTTTTTAATGGTACCTATGCATACTTAGTGATGCATAGGGCTGCAACAGTAAACATCATGGAGATTTTTAAATCTTTCATATGAAGGTTTTTAAAAATTTGAGTAAACAGTATGGTTTGTACCTTTTTAATTATAGTTACTGAAGCTACCATTATATTTTTAGCAACCAATATTCATCACAGTTTCCCTTTCCTTTAAAATGTTTAAAGCAATTTGTAATTTCTGTATAAAATACTTAAGTGAAATCAAGCCACTTAGTGCCAAAGCCAAAGGAAAACTTGCATATATGTAACTAATCACACCCTTGTTCAGCAGGGTATGTAGAGGTGTCTTAAGTGCTCTAAAAGTCAATAGAAAACAAGTTAGCTGCTTCACTTTAACTATGATTTGTATTTTACACATGAAAATTAGTGGAGCAGAGCGATTGCTGCCAGACAGGAATTCAGTCAAAACATTAACGGGTAGTGCTATCAGGTTGCTGATTTTTCTTCTTCTTCTTCCTACAGTGGTGAAGTATTGAATCACTTCTAAATGCTTGAACTCTTTCCCTGTTGCATTAGATACTCAGACTTGGCCTGGCGCTGAACCAAAGAAAGAGAACAATCGCAAAGAGAGTGAGAGGTGTGAGAGCTTCCAACCCGAAAAGCGTCATAGGCTTGAAGAGAAGGCAAGTCTTCGACTCTCTGTGGGGAAGCACCACATGGAGGAGGAGCGCTGCAATGATGAATCAACCCTGGAGCCAGCCACCCAGCCCACAGAGACACTGGGGACGCCTCAGCCAGGCTGTTTATCTACAAAGGATGCTAGTGAAGATGACGGTCTGCAGCCAAGAGAAGAGCAGTTCTCTGAGGATGTAGCAAAAATAGAAGCAGCTGCTGAGGAGCCTGCAGCAGAGTGCTCTAGTGAGCCAATGGTAGACACATTGGTTTTGACAGATGCCGATTATATGCCTCCTGATCTAATTTCCTCAGATGAAACTGTTCAGTCTGAACAAAACTTACTCAGGTCAGCTGGCTCTATTGTGATTTCCAGTACTCAGTTGAGGAGCAACGTATTAAGCAAGCACCAGCAACAGACAGCTTATGGAAGTGATAGGAAATCTGTGCAGGGCAGAACATCAGACATTACCGGGGATGTGCAGGCTGAAGGTAACATGCCTGAACTGGACAGTGTTCCATATGAAGGGATACAGGAGGAAACAGCAGTACTGGAAGAGGAAGGTGAAAATGAAGAACCAGAAGACCTCTTTGATCGGTTTTTAAATGGTTGCATAACAGACAGAGAGGAGTCCCTTATATGCCTAGCAAGCCAAGGGGACTCCGAAATTCTTCCACATATGCCTCCTGAACAAGCACTTTATAGTTCATCGGAAGGTTATTCACTGGATGAAAGCTTTTCTTCACTTGATGAACTTGCAAAACGAATAGAGATTGCAGAGGTAAACACTGGCAAAAATAACTTCCAACACTGTTGGCACTATTCGTGGTTTATATTATTTGTGTTCTTTAGCATGAAAAAAGTTAAATTTTTTTTCCTGAAAAGAAGCCATGTTTAGGAGGATGTGTTGTTTATTTTTCCTTTCCAAGTTTATTGATTAAGTTTTAGGTTAGTAAAGTTTTCTTTATGAAAAATAAGAGGATATAATAAATAAACTTATGCATCTTAGAGGCCAAACAGTAGCAAAAGTAATCATGAGGAGGGGGTGCAGAATGAAAAAAGCTCTCTGGTGCATTTGTAAAAAAATACTTGAATATTTCAGACCTTTTGGTTAACAAAAACATTTCAGTTATTCTAGTCATGGCAGGCTGATGAACAATCGTGAGTGTATTTTATTCTCTTTGTGAGAATATACTTGGTTCTACCATTGCTGTTTTAAGTTGAGCAGCAAGAAAATGGGCAGAATGACTTAGCAAAGGAGTTTTAAGCTATTCTGATTGATTTAGGTACCGGTGGTAAATGAAAGGCCTGAGGATATAATGACTTATCCTTTTTACTGCTGTTCCAAAGCACATAGTGCCAGCATCAGAAGTCAGAGATTAAGACAGAACACACCATACTTTTATAGCTGACTGACATGTTTGAGGTCACAGTGTACTTCTGGGCATACTAAATGAATCATCTAGAATATTGTTCACCAAAGGCCATCCATTATGCACTGCTCTGTAAAAGGTTGAAGGAAGAGAGCCCTCTGTTTAGTTCTGCCTCCCCCCCTCAAAACTCTTTTGAAGGCAAGATTGATCCCTAAGGCTAACTATCAGAAGCAGAATAAATAAACTTGTCTTCAGTAGACTGTCATTTCCATTTTCGTCCAGTAGCAGTGACACAGTTTGTTAACTGGAACAGCACAGCAAAGAGATGTGTTTGAACAGAGTGTTTGTTTTTGAAGTTTATTAGCAATATTTTAAACATCCTTCTTATAAACCTTCAGTCTTAATACCTAGTTTATGGGTAAGGATTACAATTGGATACATTTATTATCTTCTCTCATTTTTTACCATGTCTCAAGGGAGTATTGTATACAGCAAAAATCTGCTCCAAAATTACATCAACTTCTATATTTCTAAATACTAAGAGGAAATCCATCTTTTATGTTACACTTGCTAAACTTCAGTATCCGTAAACATAGTGAGCCCCGCACCCCATGTTTATTTATTTTTTGCATTTCTAAGTACCATTTGAATGCCATTCGTTCCTACTTCCCCTCATCTTATGTTTACTGTAAGAAGGCAAAAGCTGATGATACAGTGTTCTTATGGGAAACATTATGTAATTCCTAACTTAGGTTTGCTGTTCTCTGGGCTCTGATTTCTTTGCAGGCAGACTTTGGTCTCTGAAGAGGGGACAGAGAGTACCTTGCATCATTCAATAGCAATCTCTCCAGGCCAAATATGGAGTAATATTGGCTCTCTCTAGAGGGAGTTTGTTCCCTAGGCTGTGTCAACTGGAGGCATGTGTTTCAGAGATACATAAATCAAAGAAAAGCAAGGGTGTGGTGTTGGAGCAGGGCTATATCTTGTACTATGTAAGACACTGTAATGCATTTGCTATGCATTTGCAGGGGAAGCAAAAGCAATCCAGTAGTTTTATTAGGTTTCCTGTTTTATTCTGATCAGATTTACAAGCATCAGGACTGGAGTTGGCGTAGTTGGGCACCCGCCTAGTTTCACATGACCCCCAAAGCCTTCGTCTCGTTTTTGCAGCCTGTTCACCTGCTCTCTCCAAGCATGTCAGCAGTGACAAGAGCAAAGATCAGGAGAAACCTCCACTTGCCTTGCTCTCTTTTTACAGGCAGTGATGTGATTTGGGTACAGCAACTGGGTAGGCCCATTTAGAGATGGGACCCCACTGAGGGAGTCTTAGCCAAGGACCCTCAAAAGCTGATAAGAATAATTGGTTGAAGCCTATGAGTGATCAGCTGTTCAGTATTCATTGTTTTTAGAATTTGATCTTTGCTTTGTTTAGTTCATAAAAACAGGGGAATTTTCTTGATTATAGCATTAAAAGTAATGTCAGTAAAGATTCTGTTGATATTTTAACACATAATTTGACCTTTGACCCACCCTCATGCTTGATCTGCATGCGTGTTCAGCATGAAGCATTGAAATGTGCTGTATCAGGATAAGAATAACGTGATGGACAATGACACCCCACTCAGCTAATCTACGGAAAATAGATTATTGTCCACATGTAATGTTCAGAAAGCAAATCTTTGTGTGAAACAATTGGTGTGGGGGAAACCAAAAGCATGTCCATACATTAAAACAGTCTGCAAGATATATATGTCCATGGAGGCTTACTCCAAGTTAGCAAGTACAAGATTGCATTATTTATATACAAAGCCTTCATTATTTATATAAGTTATGGTTGTTTATTGTATCCGTGCTCATGCATTGCACAATGCAGTTGCAAAGTCAAGGCAGGGTAATAGCAAACTACTAGGAGCTGAAAGTTTATTTTCAGATAAATGATCCATGTTCCAAGTTGCTTGGAATATGCAACATATTATGAAGCCTTTAATATTGCCAGTTGCCTCCATATCAACAGCTAAGACTCAAGGTCGCAATCTTCCTGTTAGGGTTTATATTATTATATAATACAATCAAAAAAACAACGATCAATGTTTTGTTTCTAGCCTGACCACATAAAATTATAATAGCAGTAGCATGTGCGCAGCAGCGGCCTTGAATGTTGAATAATTCATAAAGTATTATTAATGGTTTTGCCAAAATAGCACAAATAACTTCTCCCTCTTCAGAGACAAGCTACTAACATCTCTGCTCTGCGTACTTGTGCTTTTAGAAGTTCAGCTTATTGATTTTCTCTTTTCAGATAGAACTAAAACTATTAATACCAGAAGTATGCATTAGAGACGTTATAAAAATGTGCTTTGTAATTGTGCATTTTGCTTTCAAGATTGCGCCCATTCTAATGCTCTGTTACATTCCCAGCATCTGAGCAAGGGGGCACTTGTGTGGCGAAATAGCTTCCAACCTGTGCAGCAGTAGCCTGTATGCGTCACAGAAGAATCAAACTTGTGACTGAATTTATCCACACAACCAGCTGAAAGTGGGCCCTTACGTTTTTCACTGGTCTCGCTCTTTCCTCAGTCTGCCTCACTATTCTCCTTTTATTGCTGGATGATACACCATCATAGCAGGGAATGACTCTCACCAACTATGTAGTCTCAAAATAAAGTGTCAGGAAGCTTTTGAGCACTCCCAAGGCAGTGAGTCCATCTCAAGTCTCACTGCAAAATCTGAAGATTTGCTTTGTGGGTGGAAACTGAGAAGGGTTGTCTTCACACTTTATCATGAGACTAGTCACTTTTGACTCTTCTGTCAGCCATTTCTTTGCATAATGAGTTTTGGTGTTAGTCACAGTGTGGTAGGGGCAGATGTGATTGCATCATTCATGAGAAGTGATGTTGTTAGCATTTTCCAGTAAGGAATTGTAATACTCATGTGGTCATTTTCCAGACAGCAGAGAATTACATTGTGATTTGAGAGCTGTAGTAAGTACAAGATCCCTTAAATCAGGAACCTATGCCCTCCTGATGCTAAAATTGCATAGAGATGTATGCTGAGCTGAGTGTCTAACTGTATGTGTAAGAGAAGGAAACCCCTTTCAATATATAAAGAGATTGTAATCAAATTGAATAAAGGCAACTTTTCAGCTAAGAAAAATCATAAATATTTTTCAAAATAAATAAATATCATAAAGAAAAAATATGTCTATTCAGACTGTATGTTACATTGTAATCACAGTATAGCACTACCTTTACAGTTTATGGTGATTTAGGGGGGAACTCCTTGCAAAATAATCCATGTTAATTATAAGCTCCAACAATAGCAAAGTTTAGAAGCAAATGTCATAGTTTAGTAATATAAATTATATAATGCTGCATAATTATTGGAATATATTGGTGCAATTATGTAGCCAATGAAATACAGTGTTACCTCTGGTTACGAACTTAATTCGTTCGGGAGGTCCGTTCTTAACCTGAAACTGTTCTTAACCTGAGGTACCACTTTAGCTAATGGGGCCTCCTGCTGCCGCCGCGTGATTTCCGTTCTCATCCTGAGGTAAAGTTCTTAACCCAAAGTACTACTTCTGGATTAGTGGAGTCTGTAACCCGAAGTGTTTGTAACCCAAGGTGTTTGTAACTCAATGTACCACTGTATATAAAGCCAAACATAGTGGCCTAATTTGCACATCAAGGGGAAGCCAAACCACAGTTTACCAGGACCACACAAACGTGCCAACTCCTAGAGAGAAATTCACATGTGCTTTGCTCCTCCCCTTTAGCACAGCTCAGTGTACAGCTAAGCAGCACCAAATTTAGGGCGGTACAGGCAGTTCTCCTGCATAGGGAACTGAGCTGAAGGGGTGCAAAATTGAAAAGATAAATAATTGAGAAGATCAATTGGGGGCGCCAGATTTGGGACTTTACAGGGCACCATATTATGAAAGATTACCAAAGTCTGCCCCTGAGCTAAACCAAGGTTCAGGTCTCCTCATTAATCATGATTAGTGACCATAGGACAAAAACTTGCCTATTGGTCATAGGTAAGGAGGAGATTCCTTAATCAGACAAGTTGCTGTTCTTAAAAGGACCAAGGAGGAGCAAATAAGTATGAACTCTTCTCTGGGAGCCAGCAGTAAACCATAGTTTACTATATTGTGATGTGCAAGGCAGTCCAGTCACTTAATAGTCTGTCATTAAAAGCACCTATTTTATCTTTCCTGTTAGACTGTTCCTGCGGAGGGGCTTGTGTCAATATTAAAGAAGAGAGATGACAGTGATGCTCAGATCCAGCGGAGAGAGTCTAAAAGAAGAGTAAGATTCCTAGAAATGGAAGACACATTTGACCAAGGTACCCTGCTTTTGTTTATCCCTTGAAGTCAAGGGATCGTCATGTCTCCTGCTTAAGGATGGACACAGACTAGTTCTTGTGTTTTCAGAGATGGAAAATTAGCCATGTTATGCTTCTCGTTCACAAAAGGCACTGGTGCAAACTGATACCTGCATAGCCCTATATAGCAAGCTTTTGAATGTCTGCTGCCTCCTTCCCCATTCCATCGTAAGACTGGTACCAGATACAGATTCCATGGCTTCAGCCTTAGCCAAAATATTTTTGTCCCTCTCTTCTCTCTCCACCCCATAGTTGCTGTGTTTACAATCTAGCTTGATGAACAATTCTGTAGAACTAAAAAACTTACACTGTATTCAGTGATGTTAGGCATTGCCCTACATTTTAGCTACTCATGGCATAGATCATTATAAATTGTTCTCTTCCAATTTTGTTTCTATATTTTTATCGGGGGGGGGACAACATACACAGTACAGACATTGCATTTCATGCAGAGTTTCACGCAGTTTCCATTTCACGCAAAGCCATGTTGACCCATAGTAAGGCAATGCCTTTGTTACACCAACCCACGTGTCACAAATGGTGAGCAAGGTGCTTTTGAGTCCTCCAGAACTCATCATCAGGCTGGATGGTAAACAGAGGGGGTAGAGGGTCTTGTAGAAACAAGTGATAAAGCCATGCATCTTTATCTTGTAAGTCCGAAAGTAGTTTGGTTGCCTGCGATTTCATCAGCTGTGTGTTATGTATCTTATCTTTACAGAGGAAGTTGGAGGTGGCTCCTGTGTTCTGCTGATCTTATTGTGTGTAGCAACTGTATTCCTTAGTGTTGGAGGAACTGCGCTGTACTGCACGCTTGGTGACACAGAATCTCCTGTATGTACTGACTTTGCCGCCAATATGGACTTTTATTATACCCGAATAGTGCAGGGTGTAGAGGAACTCAAGCACTGGCTATCCTTCACATAGAAGAAATTGCTGACAGCTCACTGACAATTGTTGAAGAGAGAAAAATATTTCAAGCTGCTTGTACCATGGCACCTTCAGAAGAGGTACAGTGAATGACATAGGACATAGGAAGTACCTCTGCTCAGGAGATACTTTCCTGTAATCAGGGGTGCATAAGTGGAATTCATGCTGCTATATCATGAGGCAGCATGACGGACTGATAAACTGCCCTACTGTTACCTTTGTGTGATGCTTTCAACAGCGATCCACCAACCTTAGGAAATGAAGAAGAGAAAAAGTTTTATCACCTACCCTACAGTTTCCAGTCCCCACATAATTGTATGCAATCCATGTAAATTTAGAGCAGGACTATATTGTCTTTCTGGCTGATCATGCAAAGATGTTGTCTTCAACTATCATGCAATAAGTCCATATTTTATGGAAACGTACCTTATTTGGGTTTAATTACTGTTTGTCCTGATTTTTAATTGTCCTAGTGAGTTTTGTAATTTTATTCGAGTGGTGCAGCAGAAATCAGAGCCCTCAGCCTAGTTGTTAATTAATTGTCTTGCATTTCAGATTGTAGCAGCTGTAATGAGTGGATGCCTCCATTGCTTCATATACAGCTTTTTAGTTGTAGATTCCTTAAAGGTGGACTTTTAGAGAACGTTTGCCACAACAATAAAAAATGGCATTTTAAATAATTTTTACGGCCAATAAATGGTACTGTCTGCATCCCTTGTAAAGGGCTACGTCAGAAATTTCTTTTTTAGATATACAACTATTACGTTTTAAGTGTACATCTAAGAATGAAAACAACACTTTTGCAAACACCACTATCATGTCCAGGGAGCCATTATCAGCTACACTTCCCCACTGAGTCTATGCTCAGTGGCAAATATGGTTTCTTCTTTGTAGTGAGCAAAATAAGCCTCAGTTTCAAAACTGGCTTAGCTTTAATAAAGAAACTGATTTCTCCTTGACCAAATTATGAAGGAAAAGGGAAAAAATAATTAAGAAAGCTCTGAAAAATGCTTGCATATCAGCTTAAAAGTTGAGTATCTGATATATATTCTCTCACCCATGAAAAAGATGAGCTTCAGTCTATCTTGTGGTGACAGTACATTCTTAGTTTTCCTTTTAGCTGAAAATTTTGTTAATTCCATAACTGAAAACGACAACAAACACAGGACTCATAACTGACACCTGCCGAAATCTGTTTGGAACTTGGTTCTTATTCAGTGTCGGTAATTTTTTCTTTTTAAATATCCACTGCATGCTGATTCCTTCTAATCTGCATTTCTTAAGCTTTCTGATAGTGAGACTAGAGAAAAGTTGGATAAAATCCACAATTCTCTCCCTACCAAGAAGAAATTGCTTATATAATAATCAGCCTGCTGGATTAGGCCAGCGGCCCATCTAGTCTAGCATCCTGTTCTCCTGGTGGCCAACCAGATGGCCGTGGGAAACCCCCTGCCATTTCTAGCAACTGGTATAAATATACATTTGTACTGTAAAACTGGAATATAATGTCTATTTTTTAAATTAATGGTATAATCTGTTAGTTGATAATGAAATTAAGGGCTTGATTGAAGCTCTCAGTCAACAGTTATGCTCGCATTGGAGGAAGCGGGTGGGAAGGCAATTTTTGCTAATCTCTCTCCCCCAGAGTCTTGTGGAATCCTCTGAAACAGGGTGGGAAGTAGTTTTGGGGGCAGAAGACAAAAGAGGGAATTGGCGAAAATCACCACCACCCCTTCCTTCATGGGCATCCTCTGCTGGATCCCAGTTCTAAAAGGAAGGAGCCTTTCTGTTCACAGAGGGGCAAGTATGGATCCAACCTTATCCAATCTTCAGAAACCAGTTTCCAGGGCTCTAGTAGTGCATTAGTGCACTAAAGATGTGTGCAGAATATGCTAGTGGTGTATGATGCAGAGTGTACCAATATTAAGGCCTTAGCTGTGCAGAAAACAAACGTGCAATGGCAGTGAAAGTTAAATCGTGTAAACGGTGTTCTGAATGTTAAACTTCACAAGGGAAGGCTTTGGGGCATTTGAAAGGATATTCATCTTAATGTGAATTGGTAAGAAAAGGATTTGTTTTTATATCACGCTTTTCCTTCAGAAGAACGACATGTTAACTACACTGGTAGTGCTTCTTCTAGGGATGTCCCCTCTCTGCTAAGTGGCCGGTGTTATGCAGCTAGATTTTTTCTCCCCTGTCTCTATCTATGTGATGAGAGAGAGAGAGAGCGCACACCTGGCACACCTGTTTAATTAGCAGTCTGGGTATGTCTTTTGGATTGGATCTCCTCTTTCTTCCCAACCGTTCTTGGAGAAGATTCTTTTGCATTTTGACCTCTGGTGCAACAATCCCATTTAGTTCCATTGGCTGGCCAGCCTGCAATGTTGGCAAAGCAGTTAGTTGTAGAGTTATGCTGGCATAGTTGTTGGTATACTCCAGCCCATGGTTAGGATCCAAAGAGCTCCTTAGCTGCCTGTGCACAGATCTTTCCACATAAGCATTGCCCTTTCTACCCCACCCCCACCCCCACCCCGGCTACAGTTTCTCACACCGCACCACCAGGGATTGCTCTTGCAGTTCTCCAGGGTATAGGAAGTCTTTTTGGTGGAGAGGAAACAGCTTTTGTAACTAAGGATTCAGAAGCACACTTGTTCCCCCTCCCAACTACTATATTTGGATTTCTTGGCCTGAAGATTTATGTGCTGACAGAGCAAATCTTACAATGGGATAGTTAGCAATTTTACGTGTTTTGTGTCTAATGGGGCGGGGGGACCTTTGTTATGTCTAAACACAGTTTTCCATGTGCACTCCAAAGGCCTTTTGTGTTCCACTATAGCAGTGCTTGAACTTTCTAAAAGGGAGGCATGAATTTTAAACCTGATTACTGGCTGGTTCAGTACATCACTTTTGTCTGCTCTTATTAAGTTAGCTTGATCTGTAAAGGAATTTTCTTATTATTTTATTTTGCAATTTTATGATGGATTGTTGATGAGCATGCCTTCTGTAGCTATAATGTTGTATCTATAATTATGTAGTTACTATATATTTTGGGGTTTTGTAATTTTCAGTTTGATGTTCTGTTGGATATTAATGTTTAAAGCAACCACGAGTTTCACCTCTGTTTTAAATGTTTGTGCTCCTGATCACCAAAAACATTGAGAATGATAACTTGAATATTTTTTTTTTAAAGTATGCCATCAAGAAGCCTTGTACTTAGGTTCATTTTGGCAGAAGTAATGTTAAAATTATTTTTATTGCACATTTAAAAGAGAAATACAACGCAGATTTTAAAATATCTCACTTTGCACTAGGGTTGCCAGATGCCCCTTTAAAAAAATATATAGTTGTTTGATTTTAGATCATAGCAGTACCATAGAACAGAACTGATCTCCTTTATTTTGTAACCCCCTGCTCCACCAGACTCTGTATATTTTTGAATTTTTACTATGGCAATCCTATCATTATACTACCTTAAACTGACATACTCTGCAGCCACAGAGCCCAGGCCACAGCACCCATACTGCCCTTGTTTGAGGTGGAGGGCAAACAGAATAGGCAGGTATCCTGAGCTGGGTTTAGAGCCGTCTTATGGTTGATCTCATTTATTAGCACTATACGGAAGCAGTCTCAATTTTTTGACCATGTTGCATGTGCTGCTTCATCTCTCTGCTGATCACGTGATCCTGACCTGTAACTAGATATTCCAGTTGGTTCATATAAGAAATTAAAACATCAGTAAAACGTTGGTACTAATTCTTGTTTAGTATGATAGTTCACATGCTGTGTGGTGACCTTTCAGATGGTTGGCTGCGTAACACAATTTGCTCTACCTGGCCTTTAAAATACGCTGAAGTTGCTCTCCATAGTATCTCAGGCTCTGATTCTGCAAACATTTTATGCAAATGTGACCAATTTGAAAGAGAAGGCTCTTGTATAAAGCTATGTTGGGTCTCAACCTCCATGTTGAAACCGCTCTAAATGAAAAGCGCATCTCCAAATTGCTGTGGAATTGAGAGGAACTAGAAGGTAGGAAACTGTTTTTCTCTTTCATTGTAATTCATGTATGCAAAAGGCCTTGAGCTATAACCAATTTCTTATGGTTGTTTCCTCCTAGTTGTGAATGGCTGGGTCTTGTAAATAAAACTAAGTGTGAGAGAGCAGAAAGCTAGGACAATACAATTAGATTGTTCCAAATTATACTATAATACATGGGATGTGGAACTTTTATAAATTTATATATAAAAACAATTGGCTGAATATTAAGCTACATTTGTTTAAAAGAAAATTCTAATTGCTTCTACTTTAATAAGGCACATTTCGTCCAATCACTGCCTCCCAGCTTGCTAATCTTTATACAGTATATTGTACATGTGTGTGATTGTGCCTCAGTGGATGTGCAATCAGTTACTGCCAACAATGGGAATGCCTTAAGCTTTTTTCAGTAAAACGCAAGTGAAAATCCTAAAGCCAAATTGGGTTTCAAGTTGAATTTTGTTAGTCTACTCTAGCTAGCTCACATACTATTGAACTTCCAATAAAAGGGCTGTTACACTCGTAAGAATAAGAAAACATAGCAATTTAACTTCTGCTACTGTGTAAAGTCAAGGCAAATCAAAGTCAATAATAGATGTGATAAATCAAACCTTAGCTACTAATAACATGGGAGGAAATTACTATTTGAAAGCATCAACCAAGCTTGTGATTTCTAAATATAACGAACAAAAATAAAGTGTCCCTGAGAAAATGCATTGAGTCTTTTGAGTGCTGTTATTAATAAAGGATGTGGACCTTAATAATGTGTTCTGGATAACTACTTGCCGTTGTTCTCAAAAAGCATTTTAGTAACTCTGTTATTTTACAGTGACTTATAAGGAATTACAAGCAGACCTACAACCAGGCCTTGGAATGAACTTGCTCATTTGAACAAGGTTCACTGAACTACCCATGAGATTTGATACCATAATTGCTAGGTGAATTAAAGGTGAATTAAATTTATTTTGGGATAACTCTGTGAATGATTTTTTGTTCATCTTCATGTTCCTTCCCTTCCCCCACCCCCTAGCACTCTGCAGTGGGGAACTCTCAGACCCAAGCACTTACTCTTTAAAAATGAAAGTTAAGTTGTTTTTAACTACTTAATTCTATGGAATTGTGTGATTTCTCTGCCATTCCTAGCCAGGTTCTGCATATGCTTCAGCCCTATTCCCTGCTCCTATTGGAGTGCAACAAAGATTTTCCATACAATCACTTAAGAAGAAAGTTGTGGTTTTGTTCTAATTAATCTATTTATCTAATCCGGAAGATCATATTTTGTCATGTTTTCCAATATGCTGCAGTTTGTGAGAATTATTATTATTTTATTCTATGAAACAAATACAAAAAATACAAAAGTTGAACTGCAGCAGATAGTACTACTTCAACTTTTGTTTAAGATGCAACTCTGATAATATGGGTGGAGTTCAGCTGAAATTGCAAAGGGAGTGTTACAAGAGAAAACTAGTGCTATGGAAATAATAATAATTGTTCCACCATATGCTTTAAATTTTCTGTTCCAGTATTCCCCCCCCCCCAGGCATACACTTTGCAAAGCTTACAATCGATAAGCTAAAAATAATAAGGAGCATTACTGCCTGGAAATGGGAAATACAAAACCACGCAAATGTTTTCTCGGTTTGCCCAGTGTTTTGACTGAAGCCTTTACTGATTGGCCTGGTTTGCACGTCTCATTAAACCATAGTGACAATAAACTATAGTTTGTTGTGCCAGTGCCCACTCCTCAATAGCAGGCACTCCACGCCTCTGCTGTTCTTGCAGGGGCCACACCAGCAAGGAAATTGGCTATAGTCTGGCTTGTCATTATGTTTAAACTCAGGATCAGGGTTTGTTTCTCTCCAAATGAAACACAAGCAGTAGCCAAGAACAAACCTTACCAATTACAAGACCTGGATTATAATATATAATTATAGACCTGTGATTTGCAACATAAACCACATTCTATGTACAATAAGATAGATGTATGTCTACTGCATCTGAAAACAGTAACATGGGGTATGTTGTGCAGGCACCTATAAATTAAACACTTTGTCATGAGCAGTCTACTTAGGGAATTGTCTTAGTGTAATTTAGTGTAATATCATCCTCGTGTAAGGCCAACATACAGCCAACCCTGTGAATATCTTCTTGGAACTAAGCACCACCGATTTCAACTAGATGTCTTAAAACCAAGTAAATGTGCATAGGATTACATTTGGAAATGCACCTTCCTATAAATTAAGCCCACCTAGAAATTTAAGATCTAAACTAGCCCTGGTTAATCTAGTCCAGTACTAGATTGTTTTCTTCTATCTGACAATCCTTCCTGTATCTAAGGAGTACTCCCATGTTTCCCCCCCCCCCTCTTCTTCAGGTTAAATGTATCGGCTCCTTTCAACCTTCCCTCATAGGCCTTTTCCCCCCACACCACTGGCAAACTGTGTTGCCCTCCTCTGAGTCTGTTCAGATTTGTCTCTGTCAGGAATGGAGAACCTATGGCCCTCCAAATGTTGTTTTACTCAAACTCCCATAAGGCCCAGCCACCATGGCCCAATTGTCAGGGATGATGGAAGTTGTAGTCCAGCAAGATCTGGAGGGTCACAGGTTCCCCATCCATGGTCTTAAACATCTCAGGACCATAGTACCTTTCATATAAACCAACCCGGGCTCTGCAATGATCATCTGAGGCCCTTTGTGTGCCTCCTCCACGAGAGGTCCAGAGGATGGCAACATGAGAATGGGCTTTTTCTGCAGTGACTCCCTGTTTGTGGAATGCTCTCCCCAGGGAAAAATTTTTTGGGGCCTTCACACCCTGGCCGGCACTTTCTTGATCTCCTGCCCACAGGCAGAAGATATAGAAGCATGATTAGTCGCACCAACAGGGTAAAGAAGAGCTTCTATCTGTGGGCTGTTAGGCTGCTGAATGAAAAGATAACAACAGGGCAACTGACTTTCGGGTTTGGTGGGTGTGCGTCAGTAAACGAGGGGAATTAAGACTAAGAGAGCTGAGTGGGGGGTGCTCATGTAATCTCACTGTATACAAGTTGTACAAGTGACAGTAAAGTATTTCAATTTCAATCAATTCAATATATATATAGGCACCAGGTGAAACCATTCCTCATCAACCAGGCCCTTGGCTGTTTAATATTCTGCAGCCTTTTAAATGTGTTTGGGGTGTGTGTGTTTTTGTTTTGCTTTTGTTCTATTTATTTGTGCTTTTATCCTGTATTTTTATCTTGTGATCTTTGGGTGAAGGGTGATATATACATTTAATAAATAAAATAAAATAATAAATAAATAAAATAAAATATATCCCTCTTAACTATGATGCCCAGTACTGGACATAGATGTATTCTGACTCATGCAGAACAAAGTATAATTATTACCTCTCATTTACTTGGAAACAATGTTTCTATTAATACAGTCTAAGATCCCATTATCCTTTTTTTCAGCCAACATCACATTGCTATTATGTTCAGCTTGTGATTGATTACCATTCCAAGATCCTTTTCACATGCACTCCATTCTAGAAGTCTACATTCAAGTTTTCATAATTATATTTTGCCTAAATGCAAAACCTCTACATTTTTCTCCACTGTATTTCATTCTGTCAGTTTTCAGACCAGATTGTTTTTGGCTAATCTATAAATTAACCCCAGACACCATTATTATTCTTATCTATCATTATTATTATTGAGAAGGTTCGCTTATGCAAACAACTTACGTCTATTTAAAAGCGAACAAAAGATGTTAGGAGAAACTGCTTAAAAATAACATCAATGTCTTTAATCCAAGATGGAGGAACTGGAGTACCTTGTGTAAAACAAAAACAACCACTACCCAAAACTTTGGAGGAGTCATTGCCGCTGAGTGGTGGACTTCCTCTTCTCCAAACACCTCAAATGGTAGTGGCTTTTTTAAACAATGTTAAGTAACAATGTGAGGTTTGCTTCAAAAGCAGCATGCAAGTATCTTCAGTGAAAAATGAATGCATAACATTTGTTCTCAAACTATTTAATTTATTAATGTAATTGCAAAATAGCAGAGTGCTTTATTCCCTCATGTTCTCACTGCCGGTATCAGCATAACTATTTTCCCCCCAACAGAATTTTGCCTTACCTAATTTTCCCCCATATGATGGGAACCTTTGTACAACCTTTTCCTAGTTGCATAAGAGGACATACCTCATTGTACTTTAAAAAGCAGAACTCCTGAGAGGGTCAGAGGAATACAGTCACATGGTACTATCAGCCTTAGACACACACTCTGCACACTAAGTGAAAACAATGCCATAGTGCCACCTAGTGACTTTAATTTACAAAGTCACTGTCCCATCTCCAGTCCAATCTATGGTCAGTATTATTGTGGTATAGAATTTCAAAGACGGATATGTCCGAATTCATTTGCCACAATGTCCCAGAAAAAAAGAAGAATGCTGTTTGTGTTTTCCTTATCTCATTGCCTGTCCTGTTCAGAACTGTCTAAGAACCCTGCTGGATCAGACTGAAGGCCCATCTAACTCAGCATACTGTTCTCATAGGGGCCAACCAGATGTCTGTAGGAAGCCCACAACAATCATTTGTTTGTCAATTGGCTGTGAATTTAGAGGGGGGAAAGTAGTTTGTACAATAAATAGTTCAACTGATTGCGGGGGAGCAAAACTGCATGTAACTGTTCCTCACATTTTTAAGGTTTTAAAGCTTTTTGGCAACGAATGTGTAAGTGTAAACAATACATGAATTCAAACGTTTGTCGTGTGTATGGCTTAATTTCTAAATAAGAGGTATGATGTCATTCTTTACATATATAAAATATTTTTATTGATTTGCAACAAAATTTGAACCAAACATTAAGTTTTCTCCAGTTCCACCCCCCTGGAACAGAAGAGTAGTAATGTGTCAGATTTTACCATAAACCTGGTGGGTGCCAGTCTTCCAAGTGTTCATTCAAATATTTATAAAGGGGCACCGTATTTCAATAAAATCATCTGCCTCAGGTGTGTTGTTCAAGGCATGCAACCTTTTTGTCAATTTTTCAGCTACGGCAATAATCTATACATTCTGTCGCCATCATGTGATATGTAGGTGTTCAAGTCCTTTCCAGTTTCGTACTATGAGTAACTGTGCTGCCACCAGGAGAAAAATGATGAGTTGCTTATGAAGTAAATTGAGCTGATCATCTTTAAATATTTTTAATAAATCCATGCTTGGATTGCATTGTACATGCTGATTTGTAATCACTTATTTCCACAAATAGTCTTTCCCATAATGTCTGCACAAGTTCACATGACTGCCACCTATGGAAAGGCGTACCAACTGCCTTACTTTCTCTCCAGCACATTGGCAGGTGTTTCGTCTATGCAACTGTATCTTAAAGGTGTAAATGTCATGTATAAATTAACTTAAAATAATTCTCCCTTTTGCGAAGACTGTTTCTCATAATTGTTTGGTTGCTGAGCATCATCCATTTTTTTTTTAGAATGCTCAGTTGTATTCAAAATAAAATTTTCAAAGGGTGTCAATGCACAAAGGCCATGGAACTTAACTGCTGAGCTTGAAATAAGATGAGCAACTAGAAAGACAAGTAGCTATTTCACATTGCATCCTCCCATTGTTTCCATATTTTTGGTTTTGCTATGAAGTTATTTTCAGTAAAAAAATCATTTAGATTTCTTTCAGGTGTGTAGAATGAAGGGTGCAATGTGAGTCATTCTTGT